ATTTTAAATTACTAAATGAAAGTAATCATGTATCTGTCATATAACTTATGATTTTGTATTTTTATTAAAATAAAATTGTCACTAAATTATTTAGGTTAAATTCTCAATTTAGTCCCTAAACTATTATACGGACCCCTAATTTGGTTCATAAACTAAAAAAATCCCTAATTTGATCCCTGAATTATTGTACAGATCCTCGATTTAATCCCTACTGTTTACCAATTTGCCCTAAGTTGGTTCTTCTATACAAAAACAATTAACGTGTTTCATTATTAACGTGACACGTGACTATTAAGTTACTGTTTTTTGCCGTTAAGTTATTATTTTTCACCATTAAATAATAGATACGTCAATTATTTTTTGTACAAAAGAATCAATTTGAGGCAAATTGATAAACAATAAAGAACAAATTAAGGATCTGTACAATAGTTGAGGGGACCAAATTAGAGATTTTTCTAGTTTAGGGACCAAATCGGGGGTCTATCTAGTAGTTTAGGGACTAAATTGAGGGTTTAACCAATTATTTAAATTATTGACACCTGCAATTCTTTTTAGTTTCTTTGTATATCCCACAAGTCAAGTCAAGTCAAGTCAATAAAAATTGGCTAAGTATAGAATAATAAGATTAGTCCTCTCATTTTCTAAGTACCAAGTTGGTTGGTCTGATTATGCTGAATTATAAGAGAGGCAATGAAGTAAGCCGTTCAGTTAGGTGAGACCAGGGCAAGGACATGTGCCCTTAACGAGGCGACATAAACAGATAGACGTTAGGATCAATTTCTTAATGAGGAAACGCCCTTCTTAATTACCTTAAGGATAAGCTTTTGTCTAACAACAACCATGAAAATCCCATTCCCATCATCCAAAATTCCTTGAAAATTCCTCAATATATGGGAATTTTCAAAAAGAACCTAAAAAGCCAAAAAAAAAAAAAAAAAGACAGAGAAAAAGGGAAAACTGCTTTTCAGCTGTGTTTCAAGTCATCCAAAATTTTTCATTTTTGTTATATATATATATATATGGAAAAGTACATATCAATTTTGATTTTTAAAATAAATTAGTTACAACATTAAATTATATCATTTTATTTAATTAAAATTCAATTTAAAAATTAAAAATCTATCTTATTAAAAATATTGATATTTAGATTTACAAATTAATTATATTAAAATATATAATCGGTTTTCAAATCTAAATATTAACATTTAATATGATATGTTTTGAATTTTAAATTAAGATTTTGGCTTTTAAACATAAGTTAAGACTCCAATTTTTTAAAAAAGTATAACTAATACGCACTCATCTCATATATATATATGTGTGTGTGTGTTCCAAGCCATGTTGCAGAATAGTTTTTTATTCTAGATTGGTATTAATTAGAACTACTACCAAGTTATAAATATTGATTATCCATTGAAAAATGCCGTTGTATTTAAATTGATAAGTGGTGTAAATTTATAATTATAATGTGTTATTATGTTTTTCTTTATTTTATGAATCAAGAGTGTTATTAATAAAGAGAGTACAAGGGGTACTCACCCATATATTACATCAAAAGTTCTGAAAGAAAGTAAAAATCAGTTGCACAGTGGAGTGGGAATTGACACCAATCCACGAAATTAAACTTAACACAGGTAGAGTTTCTTTTGATCCAGCAGAAAGTTTTAGATTGAATTAAGTCAATCAATCTATTTTCATTCCAAGGCTATTTTTCAAAAGTAATACCATTTTTACTTACCCAAATGGACCAACCAGTCGTTGACATTGTGAGGTTCTAGCTACTTCTTGCTTTCTTGGGGATCTGTAGTGAACTAAGTTGGTGGAGCATGGCAGAGGCATTATCCAAGCAAACAAAAAGGAAACTCCACCAATGACATATTTTGCTCCATAGTTTTTGAGATTGTCCGCATTTGGCAAAGATGTGATTTGCATCCTCTGGATGATCATCGCAAAACACGCAATTTGGATTGTTTGTTAAATTTACTCCTCGAAAAAGTAAGTTGTCTTTAGTTGGAAGGCGGTTTAGGAAGAGGCGCCAAATCATGAAACTAACTTTAGAGGGCACCAACGGATTCCAAATCAGGTTATAATGTGTTATTATGTGATTGAATATGCATATATATTCATTTGTTTTGGTGTCTTATTATTATTGTAAACACGGCTTAAAGCACTCCAAACTACATTTAAAATTAAAATTTTGTCTATTATGGTTGTGATTTTTAATTTTCATTTTCATTTTAATAAATATTGACATTATTAAAAACTAAAATAAATAATAATAATTTATTAAAAATAAATTTTAACACACATAATTAAAATTATAAATTTATTTAATAATATAGAATTATTTTTGTTCTTATTTCTTTAATAATTATAATACTAATATGTT